AATTTGAAACTGTAAATGTTTCGCCTGATATCGTTTCCTTAGCGAAACCAAAACTTGACCACCATTTAGCCAAATGTGTTTTAGTAACACCATGTGCAAACAACAGTAAATCGATCAATTCGCTGACACAATAATTTTCTTATTTGATCACTTTTGGCTTTTATTTCACTTGTTTTTTTTATTGTCAACATCATCAATAAGTGTTAATCGAAACTTTAATTTTAACTGTTCTCTATCGATTTCTTCTGTTGTTGATGAGGATATATCGATAATAACGTCATCATCTGTTGATGGTGGTGAAAGATCAATACTAGTCATCTAAGATAATTTAAAAATACATGTAATATTATAGTAAATAAAGGCAAAAATCAAATCCATTATGCAGAAAATAAATAAAATTTATGGTCACGAAAAACTAATTTGTAAATAGAATAAGATAGTGCTTTGTTTTGTGGATGATTGTTTTGTTGATCATGCCAATCATAATAAGTTGACTTATGAACAGAAAAACAATTCGCTATTCTTCACTTTAATAAAATGACTATATAGTTACTACATCTATTCTGTTTGTATTTGCTTTCATTCGATACATTGTTAATCTGTATCATCTATACTTATATCTCCATCACTTATTTTACAATAAAAAAAAAAGTCACGAAATGTGTAGAAATTTTAGGATCGAATAGAAAATTGGATTAAATTTTCATTTGCACTAGAATTGGAAATAACTCATTTACTTTTTTTGAGATATATCTGACATTTAAAACCCTTACACCTAATAATGATTCGAACATTTTCCTGGGTATAGTTACTTATGTATATAAATTATAAATGGGATAGGATATGAATTCTTGAAAATCCAGTAATATGCTCCTACATAAATTTATCATGTAATTACATGATTCTAACCTTTATATTTCTATTAGACAATTAAAGTGTAATGAAAATATACTGATTGAGAAAAAAATCGGTTTGGTTTGAATTATAGTAAAATAATCTACTCAAATATTAGATTTTCTCAGAAAAACTCGAAATTTCAGCCGCTGCGGCGCCGCAACGCCACGATAAAAACACAAAGGTTGCCGCTGCTGCGACGCACCGCGGCGGTAAAGGAACACAAGTTGCCACTACCACACCGCTACTGCCATGGCGGTAGCGGTGCGGCAGCGGTAGCGGCAGCACCACCATGGACATCTCTGGTCTACTCGTCGTACTCTACAATATGGATGAACTAAAAAATTGGTTTTCATAAATATGTCTCTGGAATTCTAACTACAGGACCTTTATTAATATTCGAAGTCAGCATGATCGATTATTTGTAACCCACTAGATTTGGTGAAACAGAAACGATTAGACAGTTAAGGACTTTGTCTTGTCAGACCGGTTCCATCTCTAATATTGTAATGAAAGAAAGATTTGTAGTTCTTTCAAAAACTATTATTTTTATTTAAGAAAAACTCTTTTCAGAATGCACAAACGCCAACAAATCTTCATCCAGGTTTTGTTGCACCTGGTCCAAATGTTGATTTATTCTATGAAATCATGCAAGATCGTTTTCCTGGTGTTGATGCATCTATTGCTGGTCAGGTATAAAATGCTTCACAATATACAAAAGCAAAATATCGTCATCAACCAACGACAACGTCACAAATGAACCCTGTTGATAATGATAGTGATGTTGAAATTAAATCAAATTCATCATTTTGGTCGGATGACGAAGAAGAAGAAATTACAAATGATAATCAAAGAAAAGCAATTACAAATCAAAAACAATTATCACGTTATTTATCAACAGCTAATCGTTCATTACTTGATCGTCCAAGTGACCTTGTTGCTGATTTTTATATTTCAAAATTAAATCATAGTATGCAAGAAAGTATACGACAAGTTGAAAGTATTGCACATGATAAACCCACGTAACAAGAAAAATGAAATAAATTGGATTTTCGTACTATTTTTTACTTTTTCTAGGAACTTTTAGCACTTTTTCACTTTGATAAGTACTTAAAAGTACTTTTGCATAGATGAAATGTACTGGATCATTTTTTCAGTTTATAAAGTACTTTATAGTACTTATGAGTCTCGAAAAAGTATTTAGAAGGACTTTTGAGGGTATGTAGTTGTGGGTGTGGATGTGGGTGTCTGTATATTATTGTTATTTCGTGGATCAAGTTTCAATCCATACCCACACCTCACCCACACCATGAACTGCAATTGTAGCCTTATCGAATTGCCTTTATTTTTCTTCAAAGCTAGCTAATCAAATTGTTTTTCTATTTTCTCAAAGGAGGGGGGACGATAAGAGCCAAAATCGGCCTCCTCCGGAAGCTCCGATTTTTACTTATTAAATAGTCACATTAGGTCCCAGGAATTTTTTACTAACACAATCAGAACGATTCAAT